ATGCTACAGGCAGGACTAGTATGGTTGAAGGCTGTCAAGGCAAGGAACATGGAGCGCTGAATTCTAACTGCATTCTTTTCACTGAAAGGGTTGTCAAACAGGCATGAGGAGAACAGAATGGGCTACAGATTCTTCTCGTTTCTGTTTCAAAGCCAGAATAAATATATAGGGTGACTCGAGGAGGTGGCACAAACCCTATACGGCGCACTTGGTGCAAGCTGGTTGCAATAGCGTATTTCAGTGTTTACAACCCCTTGGGATTTGCACAATGTACTCCTACTGTAATTTGGGATTCCGCCATAGTCACTATACATGTGGTCACCTGCAGGGGTTCCAGTGTGCAGCTGGGAGTATGTTCTACAAGAGGGAGTCCCATCGGCACAAAGGGGAATGTATTTAAATTTTGCGAATTGTGTGGTTACCTCATTTGGGCATGGCTGAAGGCTGGCTGTTCGCCGCTTCAAAGCAGGCAGTCACAGTCAAAGTGTGTTCAAGGGGTGCTGTACAGTCAGCTGTTGGGTGCTGATGATGCTGAGGAGTATGTACCTCATACTTCTGAGATGCAGCCCAAACCCGGTTTCGACCATGGTGGAGAAGAACGCCTCAATCAGGTCCTGGGCTTGAGCTTGGCGTCATATTCTTTTGGTGGAGCAGAAGTACTTTTCGGAACTCTGATGTTTTGCTTGGTCCGCTTTGCTTGCCCTGTGCAAGACTAGCCAGTTTGGTCCGAAGACATGATTCAAGCACCTTCAAGCAACTCATTCTTACACCAGCTTGAACGGGGTCTCAGCTTGTGTTGACATCCTGTGTAATAGGCAAGGTTGCGAGAACAGGTTCCTGTCCCTCAGGTTTGGGGGTCAGGCAAGGAACCTTGGGCGACCCACCACTTGTGGGAGATGGAGAGCAATTAAGATCATTCTACCGCACTGCACAGAAAGTGCTGTGCTACGAACCGGGACAGTGGGACAGTGGGAGGAAGCATGTCCGAGTTGGGTTTTCTACTCCCTAATGATGCACGGCTTGACCACTAAGCTGGAAGATCAAGGAACTGACAAGTAGCATCACATAGTTGACAAATATCATCACATATTGAATCCCACTAAAATAACAGATTTGATCCTCAAGTAGCATACCAACGGACCAACGTAACAGAGAACAGCAATCCCAAAGTTGGTGACAGACTCTTTGGGTTTAGGATGGTTTAGGTAAACTCTTGGGGCGACAGAATTGGCAAGCTCTTTGGCTCCAGTTCCTGGCTTTGTGCCGCTTCTGATGCGCTGATGATTTCGCATGTTCCAAGGGCCCATCTGAACTCAAGGATCCTGTTCCGGGTCGTTTAAAAAAAAAACACATTATTCAACTTTGAACGCCGGGCTCGTTGGATGAGAAGGATTATAACAAAGGCTATTACGGCTTGGTATGGTTTTTTTTCCGACCCGCGTGGACCTGTCGCGTGGACCCATCGCGCCAGGACATGGCCCTTGCAGTGACGCTCTTCAGTAACCTGGCGGCCACCATGCTGTGCCTTGCTGAAGATGAGTCAAGCTTTCTTTTTGATGTCAACCAACGCTAATGCTGTAGGGTGCAGGCAGTTGACTCATACAGATTCATACATCTTCCGTAGATCTTCCACATGGAGACAGGACTTACCATGCATGGGGGTTCTTTAAGCATCCACCTCGGCCATACAATTACCCGCACGATCCCGCATGTAAGAGCAGATGTTCAATAGTGAAGACACGAGACTGCTCATGTTTTTCCTGAGGGTCCATCCAAGTAGAGCACAAGGGTGGAGATGCCCAAATTTCATACATGCCTAAAGAGGGGAATTTCAAAACAGCTTCATTGTTCAGAGCTTTCTGGAACATTCACGCGCACAGCACGCGCGATGTGTCCACACAGGGTGCGCGATGCTACAGATCAAGCGCCGTGCTGTGTGGAGAGGACTCGAGAATATCAGATTATCAAGCATCATTCAGAGCGCATCCCTGTGCACATGGTCCGGACTGCTTGGATGCGTCAGATGCATTTTTGGGGGGCAACATGGGGCAACCTTCCTTCAGAAGGTGATCGTAAAGGCCTGAGGCTTTTCCTTTATATGCATGTGGCCTGGCTCTCCTTGCAGCCGGAACCACCGGCACCGACACCGGCGGAGCAATGCGCTGGGTTCCAAGGAAGATGGATGAGCCTCAAGAGGCGCTGGAGTATGCGGAGAAAGCCTTACGCTTCGATGAGCACCATGTGATCCGTTTGGAGAATTAACCGTTCGACGACGGTGTCGCAGAACTGGTCGTCCGTTCCATGGCGCTGTTGGCGCTGTTGGTGTGCCTAGAATTGGGTTCCAACTGCGGGCAGCTCAAAGGACCTTGGAGCATCTTGGAGCTTCAAAGGAGCTTCCCGGAGAGGGAGCCCAATAGAAAGCATGAAAGTATGATGCACACTGCGGCATTGCTAGGCACTGGTAGTGCAAGAGTTTGCCTCAGCAAAGCCAACAATTACAGAGCAGCCGACAGCATACCAGGTCACTGAGGATCGTTTCTGTGGCTTCGCAGGCTCGAAGCCTCACCAGGACTTCTTCCCCCCAATCAACCTCCTGCTCCTGCCACACCCAACTCGTCTCATCTCCCTCCATTTTGTGATGGATGGGCCACCAGGGTCACCTCCAAAAAGTCCATTCTGCGGTTTGTCCATCCACTTCCCTCCCTTCGGCTAAGGCCGCCGAGAGCCCTCCGCTTCCCTAAGGCCAAAGCGCTCTTCCGTCGCGGCCAGGCCCTCCTGGCGCTTGGGGAGGCCTCGGCCGCCGCCGAGACCGCCGCACGGCTGGCGGCCACGGCACCGCGGGAGGCCGCGCGGCTCGGCCCAAGAAGCAAGAGAAGTTTGAAGTTTGAAGAGCCTATATACGAGTGATATCTAGTGTTGGTGTTTCAAATCTTAACTTCCTTTTTATTCTGAGCTGTTCGGAACTGAACACATTTTTTGCTTAATATGAGCCATGAAAAATCATGCCGGTCCATCACTTGCCCACTTAAACATACATACGGTGGTGTGCAACCAACAAAGGTGTTACAGTTACAGCTTGGTGAATGCTCTTAGCTGCTTGCAAACCTCTTCTAGTGTCAGCTGAGCCTTCCTGTTGCCTTCGGCTCCAGTTTGCTTGTTTGTTGTCTCCTTTGAGTGCTCGTGCTCATACATACGTGGTATAAACGCTGCTTGTTCGGGATTCAGGCTATAACAGTGATTTCAGAGTAGATGGCACAATCCCCCCCAAAATGTGTCTCATTATTGGACCGTGTGGACCCCCATCTAAAGGGACCCTTTCCATTGAATAACACATGTTCTCCCAGATGCGAGCACCGCACCTTGGGGATCCACGGCATCTCAGTCGACATCGTCTCGAGACCGACGATCCCTGAGGAAACTGAAGTCGTTGGCGGATCAGCTGGACAAGGAAGCCAAGAAGAAGGAGAGCCTTGAGATGTTTCATGGTCCGATCTTTGCCATTGATCTTGTTGTTGCATATCATGTACATCTTTGTACGTCTATGAATCCTGTGTGGAGGAAGAGCGCAGGTTTTGACTGGTAGTGAATGACCTGTGGACCTATTATTGCTGAAAGGCATCCTGTACCACCTCCATTGGGATCAGTCAGCAGTGGATTGAGTAGTTGAGGTTTTCAAGCGGGACGCAGTGAAAGTCATCACCATGTGAGCCTTCCATGATTGACTTTTATATAATGAGATGCCACGGTGACTGAGGAAAGCACTCTTCAGCAAAATGATGAGCTGAGCCATGCTGCGCGCCGGCTGGTCACTTCCAAAAGCTTCTGGTCGCCTGTGTGGTCTGGACCAAAACGAGTGGCGCGGGTGCATCCAGGTTGAAAAGCACATGGAGAACGTATATAGGCTAGACTCACTTCGGCAAACGACCACCCCCGAAAAAGACGCTGGCCCAGTGGCCTGCCTGGTGAAATGTGTCTTTGGACAGGATGCTTTGCAAGAATTTATTCAAGGCCCAATCAGTTGACACCAAACTCCCTGTACCTGGTTGGTCCTCTCGTCCGGACCAACGCGTAGCTGTCGAGAAGCACGAGCTGCCGATGCTGGTGTTCACCTGCAGTCGACCTTCGTTTTCTCTCTCTTCTTTGATCTCTGGCACTGAACAGAGGATACTGGAAGCGGTGGAAGCGTATGGGCTGTATGGGGTTGTTGATTGACCAAAGCTCTTGTCGAGATCTGCCAGTGAAAGAGGTGGTCGGTTGAGGGGGTGTGTTGGGGGCAACATGCACATGAAGGCTTCGCTCGCGACCGTTCTTTCTTCCGCTGCCGGGCTGGCTCAAGCGCATTCCTGCGCTCATTTGGCGGGATCCGGCCGAAACAAGGGCCGTCGTGCGATTGTTTGTGACTACATTGTGGTGGGTTACCATGTGGTGGCCCATGTTCATGCCTCTCGACACCCGAAGCAATGGGGGGCCATGCCTTCGCGCCGGAAACGTTGGGATTCGGCCTTTTGGGACTGAAACGGCCGAAAAGAATAGCAACGGCCTCCAACCTAGCAGCGATGGGCTCCACCAACAAAACACGTCCTCCACCTCCTATGTTTACTAAAGTTGATTGTAGGAGTCCAAGACGTTGAGTGACTTTCCGCGTTTGACAGGAAGATGGTCAGTAAAGATGGCGGTGTTATGCTGTGGGGTTCGATGGATGAAACATGAGAACCAGTCAACTCCGAACCAGTTCGGGACCCTGCCAAGCTCATTCTTGACCGATCGATGGAAGCCAAAAAGCCTGTGGGCTTATGGTATTTTATGGTATTTGTTATGATGTTTTTATGATGTTTTTATGTGTACTGTATATTAGCTTTATCCAGTTTCTGCGAGTTTGGCTTCTCCAAGTGTCCCAGGTTTGCTTGGTGCCTTCGGGTCCTTGGATCCCGTGTGCAGCCAAGCTCGTCTGCAAGGGTCCTTTCAAGCTCGTCTCGAACGCGAACAAATCCTAAAGACATTTGCGCAAAGGGCATCCACATGCAGTTGATGACGAGCCTTGCGGATCAGCATGTGGCGTTGGCGGCATTCGGTGTGCGTGGCCAGGGTGCACTGGCGTGGAATTTTTGCGGGCGCGAAATGGTTGGTCGAAGACGTACGCCCTGAAAGAGAAACATGGAACCTGAGAATGGACCGTTGGAAGACAATGTTCCTTTAATCACAACCCTGTGGTTTTCATGTTCTGTGTTAATCATCGTCCAGGGTGTAGTCCTAACAATTCAGAGCTTTTTGGCCCAACGGGTACTGCGAAGGGCTCCTTGGTACCCTAAACCATGCGCCCTGGACGCATGGGTTGCCCTCCCTTCTGAGGGGGCGCTGAAATTCCCTGCAAATAACATGCAAAAGGACATTAGGATACATAGGGTGTTTCAGATGTTTCAGGCTTGAACATTGGCTTTGGCGATCGCATGACGCAGATTTTGTACCAGGACACTTTCACTGAACATTCAGGGCTCAGCTATCATCAGTAAATCAGGTTCTCAGCAATTCCATGCAAGTAACACTAGAACATGTGCGAACCCTAAACCCTCAGTTGATTGGTGAGAGGGGTGCTTTTTGTACATTGCTACTTCTATGTGTGACACACTCACCAACCTTTGCATATGTAGAAGCACACCTGCTGGCCAGGTTTGCTTTGCATTTTGCATAATGGAAGGACACATGGACATTTTCACCTATGCATCGTGCACAGGTGAGGTGCACGGTTATCTCACCTCGCTGGTGATCTTGCCTCTGTAGTGCATTTTGCATAATGGAAGGACACATGGACATTTTCACCTATGCATCGTGCACAGGTGAGGTGCACGGTTATCTCACCTCGCTGGTGATCTTGCCTCTGTAGAAGTGCACCAGATTTTCTGTTGGTGATCTCGTATGTGTAAAAGGTTCGCTGGAAAGTATGTGTACAATTGTGTTTGCTATATATATATATCTGCGCCGGTTGTTTTGCATGTGTAAAGAGCTTGCACAATATGTAAATATCTACTCCTACGACGCGACGACGCGGGGCACGCGCAGAAGATCCTTACGATGCGCGGCTTCTTTTCATGTTGCCGCTCTCAGTCGGAGTTGGCGGGCTAGGCGGAAGATCCATGCACAACGTGACCCTCGCGGGGATGGTGTGTGTGTGTGTGTCACCCCCTGGGCAAAGGGTTCTCCACCGCCACCTCTTT